ACGATGTCGTAATATTTAACGATTCAACGACAAACGTGTTCAAGTCGAGTATTTTCTTCCTCATAGTCAGTCTTCTACGAGTGAATAAAAGAGACGTGTAAGAAGTCGGTCTGGGAATGTTTGGAAATTGAAAATGCTGCAGCGCCAACTATTATGCTTAAAATAATAAAGCATAGGAGGTAATTAGCGAAGTTTGTAATACCGATGATACCACTTGTGTGCTTGCAAACTAGCGAGTTATACGATAATAAATATACAATATAATAAATTGTAAATTGTATAATTTATATTTGTACAACGCGTCCGTGTATTATGTTCGCACGATGTTTGCGTCAATTATATATTTCGCATACTCGTGTTACACGCACTCGACAATATCCAATAATCTAACAAAACCGTAGATCGGTTACATATTGTGCGCATTTACAAACGATATTCGCGATAAATGATAAGAGGATTATCGAGAATCGATGTGTGAAAGCTTTTAATATTAATAAATAAAGTGTATCGTGAAATATTTCGAATTTGTCGTAACTTTAACGAACCTCGGATGAATTTTGGATGCAGCGGAAAAGAAGTTTTCTTATTTAGTCTACTTCCTCGTGAAGGACACTTGGAAAATTGAGATAACACGATGAAGACCGATACGACGGAAAACGAGGGGAAAAAAAGACGCGCCCGTATTGCTTTAACCTTTCCCGGTATAACCGGAAGTTACCGCAGCCCTTTCCAGTCGTCCTCGTCAGAAATTTCATCGATCCTTCCCAGCCCATTTCGATAGTCCTTATATGGGATGTTCCCCCCGGTACGGGCCGCATCTTACGTAAGCGAATCCGCGCAATCTTAAAAATCGCCCGGTGCTTCGCTCAATTTTCCAGTAACGGCGAATCTTTCCCCTCTATCATAGCTGCCAAGTCTAGTTGACAGAAGATATATGTGCGAAATGTAAACTTCGTGTGGTTCACATTGACGATATTTACTATAGACTCGTTCAAGGTAGCCTCGCGATAAGTTTGTAAAATTTTGGTTTATAAAGACATTTTTATGATTATAATTTTAACTCACGAATGAGCGTAAATGTCGAATAAGCGGAGTACATATCACGTACGGATCACATCTTATCTACTCTTCATCGTGATATTATGTCAATATTATATAATTCGTTTTAGAAGCAGGCTATATTCGCATGCGAGTGTTTACGTTTAAACGTAGCCACTACATTCGAAACGAATAGATTTTACGAGTCTTTTCACAGACGGTGTTTACGATTTACGACGATACTTTCGTTTGTTTTCTCGCGTATCTGTTGATGCCTATACGGTTTTATCGTGATACACTTTGGAATTCGCGAGGCGTTCGATAGGCTCAAGTTTAAGGTAGGTGATCTGTAGTACCGGATTTTCAATGACGATATTAAAACTCCTTCATAAGTTTATTTATCGAAAAAAAAAGAAATTTTATTTAACTATCTAAATAATACATGTTAATTTTGAGCGAAATTAAGATACATACAATATTAACAAATCCGGAGAAATTATTTATTTCTCTTATTAATACTTTTTATTCATATATCAATTGAGCTAACAGAGGTGCACACATAAAAAAATATAGAAAATAATATATCAATATTTAAATATATATATATATATATATATATATGTACATATATTAGGGGTGTTATAAATTGTAATTTTCTATGGCTATATCTACAAAAGGTCAAAAATTCGGAAATTTTTATATCAAGTCTCTATATTAATCCTTAATATCACAGCAGTTTTTCATTAAAATCCTAATTATATAGCTTTAAAAAGACATTAAAAGGTTAGAAATAGGATATTAACTTCAAGAAATACGTATAGAAAGTATCATTTTCAGTGCGAATATCTCAACTTCCAAATGATTAGTTGTTTTCTAACTTTACAGACGTGTAGATAGGAAGATAAAATTTCCATCATATGCGCAGTTAAAATTTAAAAGGATTCCTAAGAAAATGGTTTGGCCAATTACAATTAAGCGTACATGAACTAATTTTTTGTCTCAACTTTGCGTGAAGTTTTAACATACAAAGCGGACAAAATTTCTATTTAAGCTTTGAATGCTTCAGATATTTCAGATATCCCGGCGAATAAAGAGAAGAGACAGCCGAGACAATCATATATCCATCTTCACTATAACGTGCAAAATTCAGAGCGCAACTCTGACTTGTTCTTTATTTCTCCTCGAAATCGTTCCGTAAAAATATTAATAGGGTGGGAAATCGAAGCTTCACCGTCGAGACGCGCTTCGGCCAGGATAAGCCGCGAAGTAAACATTGTCTAGCAGTCTCTAGTTCGTCTCGAAGAAAGAAACGAGCCGTACAGGCACGAGGAAAGGTCGGCGTGTAGAGCGCGATCTTACGCGGTACGCCTAAGCGGGTAAGTAGGTACGATACGTTACGGTGGAGGAAAGTCAGATAGGGTGGCGCGGCGGCGGATCGATGCATCGCCGCGAGTCGGACTCGAAAGGCGGACTGTGTGCTTCCGGACGGTGCAACATCGCGACGAGAATACGAGCGGGGAGACACACTACGTTTACCCCGATTAATCTAGACTCGTTAGATACCGTCGACCATCGCAAGATAGATCGTAATATTTCCATGACTTTGGATCAGACAACGAGAAACGAGAGCTCTCCGAGAATTTTCCTTTGCGAAAATTAAAGTGAAATAAATAACCTGAATGAGGGAAATTTTAATAATAAAGAAATATTCGAGCGAAAGAGTGAAAAAGGAGGAACGGTAATAGAAACGAATACTCGTACGAGGAAGGAGAAGGGACTCGAGCGTGTGCTTCTATGGACCCTCGGGGGTTATCGATAACGATAAACGACTCGGATAATACTCCGGGAAGATCGAATCGCCGACTTTCATGAGATTTTGTGGAAACATCCAGATGGTTCTAATCCGAAGTATACTTCTATAGATTTCTAAAGATTAAGCGGGGAGAGAGAGAGAGAGATCGTGTCGAATTATTGTCAGGCGGCTTCGGTATTTTAGTCAGAAATTACGTGCGAGAACGAGTCCTCATTCTAGAGCCGACTATTCGGTTTTCGATGATAACACACTGAGCAATTCGACAGATAAATAGTGTCTCGCACTGAGTTCCACGAAACGTGGAATATTGGCACAGTGCATATAATGTAACACTTCCTGTCAAGGTACGGAGTGTTTCGATCACACTACTATGTAAGAAGCTGTTTTAATATACATAAAAAAAAAAAAAACTACAATAAGGAGCAAATTTGTAGGGAAACAACGGACTATGGCCAGTATTTATAGTCGGATCTTCAGATGTTTTATAATCAATGAAATAAGCCGTGCAGCATCTGAAGATAAACTTACGATGGCCTTAAATATAAGATACGGCCATGAATACTGGCCTGTGACTCAGTGCTGGATCGTAATGCTCGCTACGATATATGTAATGATGGACTATTATCTACAGGATTTAGTGACATGCGTGGCGAGTTTAAAGTTCTCGTGTTCCTTGTTCTACGAGCAACGAGTAGTTCATTCCTCGATGAGTGACAAATATTCGGCAATCTCACGTAAAGTTACTCTCAAGAAGCGACTTTTTGAAAAGGATCGAACGATGAGGAAGAGGAGAGACCCTCTTTGTTGTGGTTAGGGACGTACGCGAAAAAGCGAGTCGCATAGTACAGAGAGTCTCCTCGTCCCAGAGGCAGCGTTCTCGCGTACTTGTCTGTTGTGCTGCGGGGAGCGGCGTCGTTCATTTTTTCTTATCACGGATAGTGGAAGACCGATTGAAGTGCGCGATAGCTTCGCACGGCCGTTTCGTTCGAGGTCGCGGAAACGTCCAGTCTAAAAAAAAGTCTCTCGGACGTTCCGCGTAACCGTTGAAAGGGTTCGGAGATCAGGAAGGGTCGGTTTCTCTCTCTCGGCCGCACACGTTCTGCACTCACCAGTGTACAATCGACCGAAACTGACGACATCGAGTCCTCCCATTGCGTGTTACCGCGATAGTTTTTTTCCTCTCTCTTTTGCAACATCGTTCGCCCATTCATCTCGGAGAGACTCTTCGGTGGACATGCTCCTTTTATCTCCTCGCATAGAAAGCATGCAAATGTGCAGTCGAGAGGAACCGAATTGGTGACACGGTGCGAGGATCGGCGAGGAGGAAGAGGAGGTCGCGGCACCTTGCGATAACGACACGTCCTTTCCTCTCACTCTCTCTCTCTCTCTTTCTCCCCCCGACATCTCTCGCGCGCGCGTTGATCGATGACCGGCCGCGTCTCTCGCGACGCGAAATCGCTCGATCGCGGAAACGCGTTACGTGAGATTGCGAGCGAGACGGCAGGTTAACGTAAGAGGGAAGACAGACGCACGGCAAGACGGGCAGGCGGACAAACGGAAGGAAGGAGTACTCACCACCGATACTCAGGGTTCTCCATCGGGTCTTCCGCTTGGAACCCTTTTTGCCCATCTCTCGCGGTCGTCCGCACCACCGTCGCCGCCTCCTCCTCCTCCTCTTCCGCCACCACCTCCGCCGCTGCCGGCGCTATGCGCCTCGTCCTGCGCGACGATGATCTCCTCTCCCTGCCTCGCTTGATTTACGGTTCCTTTTTCGTCGTCGTCCTCCCTCTTCCCTTAGGACGGAAACGACCCTCGACGGGTCGGGATTGTCATCGCGCGGTGGATCCTCTCGGACTCGCACTACCTCGGCGGTAGCATCGCGCCACGCGAGTCCACCGGGTAGCCCTTCGCGTTGTCACTCGAGGGGGTGAGAGACTATCGCTCGTTTGTTCTTTGCCGCGACCGCGCGCGCATGTAACTGACGACGAACCCTCTTTTCGCGAGGAGATCGCGAACGATACGGGACAATTCTGCTACGTAACCTACGCCGCTCGAACGGTAACTACACACTGCGGACCCCACCTCTCCCCTCCCGGCAGCGTAACCCCCACCAACATCTTGTTCTACGCTCTCTCTCTCTCTTCCTCTCCCTGTCGTCCCCCACCGCCATTGTATTGCCTAGCTTCCCTCTTTCCCCGCACCTTGTCGCTATGTCGATAGGTCTGCACTCTCATCTACACCTTCTACACTTGCTCTTCCGTAACCTTTCGTCCTTTTCGAGTCGTGCGAGAGCACGCTTGGTCCACTTCGAGGAAGTGAGATTTCTTCTCGCCCGTTGCTCGTTCCCCACCTCATGTCATTCTTCCGCACTCGTAACGCACGAAACGAGTGTGCCGGAAGATAATATTGCGACTCGACGGCAAAGAAAGAAGGATAAATAGATGTGGGAAGCACGACGCCATTGTATCCATAAGTTGCTGCGTGCGCGCCCTAATATCGTTATTACCTGTTCCGATTCGCGCTCCATCGAAGGAGTTTCCGGCGAGCGTGGATTATTGTGTCTACCGAAAAAGAGTCGCGCGATCGCACGAGCGAATCTACGCGGAATGTCATCGCTAATCGCGCCGAGTACCGAAGCTGCCGCAACTTCGCACTGTGTCGGCGATTCGAACTCTGCGCGCGCGCATGCGCGTTCCACGTGTCGTGCCGATAGGACGTTGCCGCGAGACCGATGTAAATAGTGATGCGCCATCTTTGCCGGTTAGCGGCAGCTGATGAGAGGTATGATAAGTCATATTGTCGCTGTCACATTTCGGTTTGAAATTATTTGGTGAGGCACGTGAACCTATTTGTAAGAAAGATATTATACATCAGGTCGCCCCATTTTGTTTGACGATGTAAGTGATTTCTGTCAAGAGGAAAATTACAGTTACAGATGTGCGTCGATACTGTGTTGTCCAATCATGTATATGTTAATAAAAAAATAGAGTTATAACAAATGAATGTAAATAGTTGTTTAGCAACGTTGATTTTGTATTTATTCCATTTTTTCTACTGAAATTATGATTTGTATAGATTTTATTTGAAGCGAGTTAAAAGTAGGGACGTATTACAGTGTGCAAATTCACGCAGATTATTTTCATTTATATTCAAAGTACGCTGCAATGAGACTCCTTAATATTGTCATTTTATTACAATCCTGCGATTGATTGGATAGTGCGGTTTTACAGACTTGTGGTTTGTTATTAATTAATTGTAATATTTTTGTACAGGTCCAATGTATAGGTTAAGTCACAGTGACATATCTGACAGAGAAGAAAAATGACGAAAATAGTATCACTTCACGACTTTGAAGGCCCTATTTTTGATGATGTAGCTACTGTTGGTTTATTGGGCAATACTATGCATTACTGTAGTTACAACAAACTGCAGGATGAGAAGCAACCCTTCTACAAATACTTACGCAATTATCCTGAAGTGTTCCTTATCCAAGATATCCCGGCTACCCGTGACTCAATGCGCACTGTAAGTGCCAATGAACTATTCTTACCTGTCCATGATAGTGCTTTTAAAAAGCTTGCTAGTATATGGAGGGAGAAAGGCTTATCTGAAGCGATTCGTTTTGCTGCTGCTGCTAATCCACGAGAAATCACAAGTGGTATACACTGGATAGCGACAAAGTACCGATAATATTTTCATCTTATATATAAATTATTTTATCTATATTGCTATATTAATATTAAAACTATAATACAATTTTAGACTTATGAAAGCTTTAGATTTGATGGATAGAGGGATATATTACAGAGATCTTTTACCAACCTCGGGAGATGGATCTGTTGCTGATATTGCTACTACACGTGACTGGAATATCTCTCTGGTAGGATAATTTAGCGGGAAATTTCTAAATATCTTGCTTGTTTAACTATTGCAACATATGATGATTTGTCACAGGTAAGGTGTATGTCTTGGCACCCGTATTGCTATCGCCTAGCTGTGGCCACGAGGGACGATCGAATTCGTATTTATTCACCGGTGTCGAATAATGTTGACTGGATGTCACTGATGCTACCTATACCAATATTGCGACATAGCGAGCAGAAATCGATATGCTGCTTAAGTTGGAGGCCATACAGCGGTCGTGAATTAGCAGTTGCTTGTTACTACGGAGTGTTGGTTTGGACGATAGAATTAGGTGCAGCCAGTAATTTACTCAGTCACGCGTTACTTCTGAAACAAAGGAATCATGCGCCTGTTACAAGTGTCACGTGGCATCCACAAGTATTTCATCATTTCATTTTCTTATCACTATCATACATTACAGAGGTTAAAAATTCGTAGATAATATTGCAAAGTGTATATTTTCAGGGTGACCTATTGGCATCTTGCTCACCGACGGACTTAAGTATAATGATTTGGGATGTTTCTAAGGAAGAGGGGGTTCCCTTGAGACGTGTTGGCGGAGGTGGCATATGTTTCACACGTTGGTCACCTTGTGGTTCACAATTATTCTCTGCTTCGTGTGGAAACGTTTTCAGGTGGTGCTTCTTTGCAAAAACATACTCACCTGTCTTCTCCTCAATAGTTTTTGCTCCCGCTATTCACATACCGATCACTTGATTACAGAAATTAACGTTTCAGAGTTTGGAATACTGGCGTTCCAACACCATGGCACGCGGATAAATGGACCGTACCCAGTGGTCGTGTAGCAGTCGCATGTTTTGGTCCCAACTTGACATTACTTTTTGCTACCACCGAGGATCCCGCTACAATATTTTCGTTGCCACTGCGGGATAATATATTCGACGATAAAAAGGCAAACAACAATGACGTGAAGATAGCTATGCGTCTGATTGACTTAACGAAGGTGAATTTCGCATCTGACGATAACGACGATTATGTCACAGCGGGAGGTAGGATAGTCTCTATGGAGTGGAATTCGACGGGGCGATATCTCGCGATAATTTTTCAGGTTTGTAAAATATTCACGAGTAAATGCGGAAATAAAGATTAAAGTGTTCTAACATCATTTGCTTTTCCCTCCTGGATAATATAGGATAGCCCGGTGATCGCTCTGTTTAAAACAAGTATAAATACAATATCGCGAATAGTGGAAGTTCAACCTAGCTGCCTTATCAAAGGATTCCCCGGAGAAGTGCCGAACTGCATTAACTTTTATCAGAAAGATACCTTGTGTATTTGCCTGACGATAGCTTGGAGCAGCGGACGCGTGCAGCATTTCCCGATCGTGGAGGATCACGACAAACTTTATTCCGTTACATCGGTCTACGGGAACAAACGAATTGTATAACCTCGACGTCGGCAATTACAGGTTACTATATTAGGTTGGTTGTTTTATAACGAGCAATAAGAAAGCGATAGCAGTAAGTTTTAAATATCAAATATTAAGTAAGTATTGAATAACAAGCACGTCTTTTATCTTTTTGTCAGCGAATAAATGACGGGAGAATGAAAGTGAACACTCACTCGCGAGAAAACTGTTATTAATAGGCGACCATAGCCGGGCGGTTATCTCGCTTATAAAACTTCCATAGACATATGCGTGTGCGGACGAACCTTATATAATTCTCGTTTCGGGAGGAGTTTATATCCATAACTGCTTTCGGGAGAAAGAGGAGAGAGAGAAAGAGAGAAAAAAACGAATGGGTGGTCCGACACTCTAATGGGCTATGTTTGTAACGTATGGAACATAGAGCGCAACACGGGCTCTTCTCGGGTTCGGTACCTAATTATACGAAGTCACATGCAGAGCGCGCGTCTTTCTATTTTTATGTCGCTTGACCGAATGCTAAACGCTCGCCGACATGTATCCTCGTACGACGGTCCGCGCTATTTTCAATACGTCCTATGTGTCTCACCATACGACGGCTCTATGTGTATGTATACGATTGCAAACAGTCGAGCGTACATATGAGTGTAATTATGAGGTATTCGTGAAGTTAGACCAATTTGTAAAAATATCGAAGCAAAGTTTTTTTACCACCTTCTTTTCCTTCATGCAAAACAGATCGGCTTTCTATATGTTTTTCACATGAATATGTCTTATAAGGCTATGCACGAATTTGTTAAAGAAAAATATAAATGTATTTAAAAAAATATCCATTTTTAATATATGTCTATTATATTTATACACGCGCACATGTGTTTGTTCTTTTTTATTTAGTATTAAGCTCTTTGATCACAAATTATTTTTACATTATTGCAAGTTGATTACATGTATACGTTTATCGGACACACGTGTGAGTTTATTAATGCGCCCGCGGGTTATAATCGTTGCTTGAGATTACGCGAAGCGGCGGGAAGCGTTCCTTTTTTTTCCTCCGGTACGGGGCGATTAAACGTTCAAAATGGGTTTTTTATCCGTTTTGCTGTTATTGCATCCGTATGGGGGGAGAACATGATCGGTGTCCTTTTTACGGTATATTTATTTTAAGGGCGGTCGGGTCGTGTACGCACACACATGCGGCGGCTATAGTACGAGCGAAGCTGACAGGTGCCTGGGCAAAAAAGCAGGACCGTGAGCGGGCGTAGTATGTATAATGTAAGCATCGAGGGCTGGCAGACCACATGTGCCGTTCTATCACTTATCTCACCCGTAATATGACGTACTGCTACCCGGCTGTAAGATGCACCAGGACGCGTACTTATGTATGGGCGCGCGAGAGCGGGTGCATTTTCCGCGTAAAGAGAAACGCAAGAATGAACAGAGCGAGTCGTGCTGGCGCGCGCGACCGAGCGAACGCGCATTACACGCGCGAGAATCACAAAAACGCAACGCCCCGCCTCGTGTTTCTAGGTCCACGATGTACATATATTTGCACATCTCATAGTTACGAGCGAGTCGAGATAAAATACTTTTATTCTCCTGTATCTCGAACAGATTTCACGTTGTATGCGCGATATCAATATCGTAACGATACAATAGCGCATCGAATGCTCGTGTGCGCTTTCTCGTATTAGCAACAGCGTTGCTGTGATGTTATGTGAATTAGAGCGTCAAATCAGCATTAAAAATGCGAAACGAACGCCCATATCGATGTTTATGGCACACAGGGAGACGGAACACTCAAATTTGTGGCCAAACATCTATTCTACTAACTTGAGAATTATGAAAAATTGTTGACATATTTAAATAGTTTAATGTTCGTTCTATGTAATGGTGACCTCAGTTATGCTCTAATTATTTCAGTGTTTTCATTGTAGCAGCGTGTAGAATAGCAAGGTCGCGATTTACCTCGCGAAAATTAAAGTCACTGAAGATCGGATGGACACGGTAGATACGGTGGAGGTGAGAAGATACGTGCAACGGGGTACAGTAGCTTGTAACAGGAGAGCAAGGAGTGAACGACTTGTCCTCATGTGGTGCGCGCATAGAAGCTGTTGTTAATAAGTGACGCGTGTGTGGCAGCTGGTTTTACATTTTTTGCCCCCTGCACCCGATTCTTAGGGCTCGAGCGACGAAAGATCGTCTCGAGCGCTCTCCTCCCCCCCTCCCTCTCTCTCTCTCTCTCTCTCTCTCTTTTCTGTCTATCGCAGCCTCTCCTGTCATCTTTCATTTCTCTCACTTGTACGATTCACCCCGTCTCGAACGCTTCATCAAGATGGACCGACGATTTCAACAGCATGTATCATGTTGTTCGACGCGTAATCAAAACATGAATTGCGTGCAAATTCCAAGTGCATAATGCGACGCATAATGGTATATTCATAATATATTTTTAAGAAAAGAATCAGAAATTCGATTATTTCAAAATGTCCGATTTCTGATTTCAGGATTAACAATCGATAAACTAGCAAAATTAGGGCAAGAGCCTATGCACGAGTGAATAATGAACAACGTGTTTGCTGGAGTCAGACGAGGCTGCCTATTATTATATTCTCCGTAATGGATCGAGGTCATCGTGAGGCTGATTTTTGGTATTATTCTGATTTTATTTTTTCTCATCTATTCGATTTGCGTGGCATTTATTCGTATGGTTAATATGTCGTTCTGCTAGCGAGATATGCCCGAATAACTGATTTGTGTTCTAGTGACCTGTTTTAATAACACAGATTGCTTGCATTTGTCTTTCCAATTTGATATTAATATTTGATGTACAAAAATGTCATGGTTACTAGTATTAGACTTAGTCAATGTTAAAGTTATTATGCCGGATTCTGTACATAATTGCGTTCTTTGAAAAAGGCCCGACGCAGGATCGAAACGTCTGAAATATCTTGGCTTGTGATTTAAATAATTTTGATCGCACCACAACACTCACGCATAGACTCTCATTCGCTCTAATTTTGTTAGTTCTTTGATTATATATAATTAGAGCCATTTAGCTATTTTTATTATCAGGATCAACGTTCAAAGTCGGTGTAATGAACGAGCGAGGCACTTCGATGTATATACACAGAGAAAAATATCTTACTGCGAAGGAAAGCAATTATACGGTTTATTTTACTTCTTTTGAGTAATGATTATCTTCAACAAAAACAATATATTTTTGAGATAATAATATTAAAATATACTCTTTACACAAATACTAGAAAAGCTCATTATCGTTTACTCAAAAGAAGAATTTGCTCTCTTTTCGAAAATATTATAATTTATCGAAGAAAAATTAAATTCGGTTAATTTAAATAAATAAACCGAAGTTTCAGCTTTAATTTAATATTTTTTATTGGAGTACTAAACTTATTAAAATTCAAAATACATTTTGAATAAATTTGACGCTTATCATGAACTTATGATATATTATCGGTCATAAACTTATGACATATTTGAAACAAGTAGTATTTATTCAAATGCAGTACGTATTTTTCTGTGTGTGGAGAATTAGCTCCTCGAACAAAGCCGTATTATCTTGACTCTTTCCTTTCGACTCGCCATATATCGAGAATTCGTGTCCCCGACTTCCTCTTTAATCCATCTACTTTCTCCAGGCGGGCGCTCACGAGAAGGTAACGCGTGTCGCGCGGACGAAATCATGAATGACCCGCGCGTGGGGAGCATGACGATCCTGACGGAGGAGAAAGCGAGTGAACACGAAGAAGATGAAGAAGAAGAAGAAGAAGCAGCAGCAGCAACAGGAGCAAGAGGAGGAGGAGAAGGACGCGTGTAATACGCGCGCCGGCAGATGTTCGGGCGCGCCTGCCGCCACCCCCGGTCGCCACGAAGAGAGACCGCAGCGGCGAAACCCCCGCCGTTGGTGCCGCCGCAACGGCAAGTGCAGCCGCGATGCAGCAAGTGCAACGTACCCTGAATGAGGGGAACGTGGCCACGCGAGTGGGCGGCGCGTGTTCCCTCGTACCCCCGCCGCCTTCCCAACATTCCACCCTCCGGTTTTCGACACCGAAGGGCCGCGCACCGCCGGAGAGGGGGCAGATCTTCGTCCTCTCGGGCCGCTCCTTGGAGGAAAAGCGTAGCCTCGGTACGCTGATAGTCTCCGAAGAGGCGCGGATACGGTCGGTGCTGCGAGAGCTTCTCCTTATCGGCGGCAGCCGGCGTCGACGCGCGCCGTTGCTCCGTCTCTTCGGCTGTGTTGTTTCTCGCGATCGCTATCGCTAAGCGCGTGCCACCGAGAGAGCGTACCCTCCAACGGAAAAGACCGGCGCGATAAGCCAGCGGCCCGCGCAATCGGCGCGTGCATGTCGATACGTTGATACCACGGTAAGCCGTATTCGAATACGTTCTTCTCTTCTGTGCGACTTCCGGGAGAAAGAGATTTAATTGGTCTGTTTTTTCATAGCCGAATTGGCCGCGCTAGTTTAAGTCAAATTTACGCACACTGAATGTAAGTTTCTTCGACTAATGCACAGCCAGTTCAGCTAAAAAACAGACCAAGAGAGTGGCGTGATGTCTCTCTGTCTCTCTTTCCGTCATTGTGGTTCGGCGTAATACATCGAGCTATTGTTGAGAAGTCTCCTCCGCGGTGATCTTACGTTCTCTCTGGCGCGAAAGAAGAAGATTTCGTCGTTGTGCTCGACTGTACCTTGGGTTCACCTATGTGTGTGTGCGGGTGGAATGTGTCGTTAGTTGTTCCGATGACGCGTATGCACACGAGCGATGTTGAAAGAGGGGTCTGGAGGAGCTTGCGCAAATTTAGGGAAGCGAAAACATGATGAAGCAACATCGTGGGGGTTTTTTTTCTTTTCTCGACGGAGATCAAGTTACAACTGCTACGAGAGTTGAGGAGTCGCTGTTGAGAGAAAGGGAGGATATTGCCTCGACTCGACCAGTTGGCTCACTCAGAGCGCCGTTTCTTTCGCGGTAAAGAAAATCGTCTCACAATGTCTCGATGCAGTTGTGACTTTTTCCTCCGGAGGTGTAACGTAGAACTTCTCGTAAGTACGCTCTCGCACACGCTGGATGCTGGATTATCGTGCGAGGAAAACGCTCCTGATTGACCAGCGCAATCGTCCGAGCGCGCGACCAACAGGAACACTCGTTTCGCGGAAACAACCGGATCGTCGTGTTTAATTAACAATACAATATCCAGTCTTTGATTAGCGAAACGAAAAAGAGAGAGAGAGAGAGAGAGAGAGAGAATAACACGGAGGCGTTGACGGAACCCCGCGATAATCTGCCAATTTCGATCTGCGCTAATCCGCGCAAGTTGGTTTCGCGTCATAGCCTATCATCATCCGCGGATCCGTGCTCTCTCTCTTTCGAGCGGAGGCTTTGACGGCTCCGTTATCGCGCCTTACGTAGTAACGCGAGTTCTGATAGCCGATACCGCGAGAAAGAGAGACGGGGGAGGGAAGGGGGTCAAGCCTGAAGACGTCCGACACAACACACAGCTTTCTCAATCCGCGTGAGCGAGCGAGTGACGTTACAAAATCAGCAGTTTCGCAACGAAGCGTTGCACTAACGTTGTACATCTATCTCTCGCCATGTTTGACGGCAGGCTGCCGTCGCGACGACGAGTCCGGAACGAAGGAGGAGGAGGAGGAGATGCACCTCGAGGATTACCACGGCGAAGGGAGCGAGGAGGACGTGCGAGTGTCAGCCGGACAGGACGACGATTTCGCGGACGACGGCTCGTCGCAGCTGGTGACGTCAATGGCCTTCACCACGATGAGCATCGGCGTGGGCCAGCCGCACTGTTGGGCGGCCTCGCAGCCGGACCTTTTCTCCCCGCTCGACTCGGGCGCGGATCCGCGGGAGTACCTCGACTGGGATCAAGTGCCCGCTGTCTTTCAGTTTCCCTCTCAGTATCCCTCCAACGGCGACGCCGGATCGCCGGAGAGCACGTGCAGCGAGGCGATCACGCCTACCTGGAGCAACGGCCCAGCGGCCACGAGAACGGACGATGGCTCGGAGGATAAGTCCGACTGTTTGGCGCAGAGGCTACCCTCCATGGGCTCGGCCTTCTCCTTCTCCCGCACCTTCTGCAACACGGTTTATCCGGAATACAGCGCCGAGGCGCAGAGCTACCAGGACTACCAGGACTGCCAGGACGTGGTGTCGCTGCTGATGAGCATGCAGAATGACAGCGCGCAAGAGCACTACGGGCCCTCGCCCACGCAGACGTCCGTCGGCGACGAGTTCGACCTGAGCCTGATCAGGGGCGACCCGACCTCGCTGTTGAGCGGCGTGGTGGACTCGCCCTCGTCGCCGCCGTCCTGCCTCGGCGACAACCTCCGGCAAGAATCATTCCAGAGCTTCAACGGTCAGTACTACGCTGTCGGACATCTCGTCTCGTCGCAGCAGCCGTCCGCGCTGTCGTCAATCAGCTTCGCCGGCGAGCTCGCCGCGGAGAGCTTCGGCAACCAGGTGATATTGCCGCGCAACGAGGGTCTGCTGCTCGGCAACCGGCGCGTCGCTGCCGCCGTGGAGAATGAGAAGAGCAATAAGTCCTACGGTGAGTTGATGATACCACAATTAACTGCCGGTTTCACTTTCATCGATTCTACGAAATATTATGATAATTGTGATAATTCAAGTACTAAAAATACAATATATAAATGTAACTTGAGATATCTGAGTGCATCTTTTGCCTCGTTTTATCGGCTCTTCGTTGACTGTACAAAACAATTTGGCAGATGCAATTATATTTTATACACCGAGAGAAGCTTATTTATTTAAGTAAAATAAACAATTACTTTCATGAGAAATTACAGATTTAAGAAACAAGTATATTTCTTTATTTAGAAAATTGTTCTCGATATAAAAATATGTACGTATCTAGCGGAAAGTGAACGTCGAATCGACGTCACATTGACGTCAAATCGGTGGCGGAACAATCGAAATTACATCGAATCGACGTTGATTTGACGTTGATTCAATGAGTCATTTCTCACCGAGTAGATATAAATACGTTATTAGTACCCACTGAATAAATATTTTTTTCTTAGATACTTTTTCTCTCAATGTATATAATTTTTAATAAAACACAGTTGTATCACAGTAGCTTTCTATTTTCCGTGTACCCACAATTATTACTAACGCACATTGCAGATTGCACGCAGAAACCCGCGGAAGACGGCTTCGACTCGACTTACTTGTGCCGTTGGATCGACTGCGGCTGTACGTTCACCGAGCAGGAGGGTCTGGTGCGGCACATAGAGAGGCGGCACGTGGAGTCGTCCTCGGCGAACGCGCACGGCCACGGCCGACGGATGCAGCGGGACCGCGACAAGGAGCAGCGAGAGGGCAAAGAAGGAGCAGGAGAGGGTTTCTCGGCGGCGAGCCGTGAAGACGAGTTCGCCTGTCTGTGGCAAGGGTGCCCGCGCGCGCGACCCTTCAACGCGAGATACAAGCTGCTCATTCACATGCGAGTACACACCCACGAGAAGCCGAACAAATGTACGGTTAGTGTCATCATGTTTCGTTCGCCAGCCTCGATCTACATCGACCTCTGACTTTCATGGTTAGTTGCGAATCTCCCGATAACAGCCGCTCGTGGAAAGATTCGCGAGATACCGTCGGCCACGATGATTTTTTCTGAGAGCTTCCGCTCCTCAAGTGAAATAGAAAATTTGAGAGAGGAGCAGGAAGGAAGAGAACGCTCCTTCTTGAGCGAAGTAGACATTCGTGAAAGGAGGAGAATATTCCTGTACCACCGCCACCATATGTCGCATGTGCGAGGTGACTCCTTAATATTTATTTTATCGGTCGCCCTACTGATATTTGTATGACACTTGCGGGGCAGAGTGAGGTGCAACGGTGAATAACCGCTTATCGGTGAATAACTGCTGATTCCATACAGAGGAATTTTTTTTTGTACGGAGAAACGTTAATCAATTTTGTCTTATTACTAATTTCAATTAATATACTCTTTGTGCGTTCAAATTAGCAGCGACCAAAAATTTCAGTCGATCATTCGCTTGCGCAATTATGTTTCTCGCTGTACCGCTTGTCGTTTTCCTTTGTACAATTGTTGAGCAAATAATAATAAAGATAATAATAATTATAAATAAGTAAGAATAATAATAATTGCTGAGTAAAATTGCTAGGTTTTTTGTAGACTGTTCTCATCGATGAAATATTGATTTTTACTTTTGGATTTTTTAGTTTCCGGGATGTAAAAAGGCCTTTAGCCGCTTGGAGAACTTGAAGATTCACCAGCGATCGCACACGGGCGAGAGGCCTTACGCGTGCCAACATAACGGTTGCTCGAAAGCGTTTAGTAATAGCAGCGATCGGGCCAAACATCAAAGGACACACTATGATAGAGTACGATATTTTTTTACTCGTGCAGCGTCTCGTTTTCCCTTCGTACATGCAACTACCGTAAATAGTTAACCCTTATCGGTCGTAAGTCACCTCTCACGTGACAACAATACTTCGTCGCTGCGGTCGTACGTCACGTAGGAGGTGACAAGTTCGCATATTTACCGAAACCAGCTACAACCTAGTGAGAATCACGCATAAAAAGCTAGCGTCCGATAAGGGTTAACAATCTTCTGACTTTTCTTTTTTCTTTATATGTTGAAATCTTCTTCCAGAAGCCATACGCTTGTCAGGTAAGCGGCTGCGGTAAGCGCTACACGGACCCATCGAGTCTCAGAAAGCACCTGAAGAATCACTCAGAAAACTCCGGCACATTGTCGAGTTTGTTGTCGTCTGACAAAATGTCCATGTCAGTCGCCGCGAACAATGCAACGGTGCATGGATTAAGTTCGACGGTTCCGCACCGGCAAGACGCAAAAGCGAATCATCATCCGCCGTACGAGCTGTCCAAAACGTATGTGAAAGAGGAGGACGCGTTGTCCAACGATACGCACACTAGGATCCCCATTAACTTCGACAACAACCAGCAGGAATACGTGCCGATTGAGTCGGTTTGTCACCTTCTCATCAACGACGTCCACAACGTGCACAACGAAAGTGCAGGTAATAACGAGCGCACTCGATCGACTTGATCTTCGGTAGGTGGCATTAAATGCTCTTTGAACTTCCGATACCGTGGAATTTGTGCGTTTCCATATCCACGATAGGTGTAGTAAGCTTTTAACTTTTTGCTCTAAGCAATACAATTTAACGTAATTTCTGACGTCCCTCCCGCTACTAAAAGTCGCAATAACGTTTAAATCTTGAGAATTGCGACATCTGGTAATGCTTGAAACGCGTTTCAATTGCATTACATATTTGGTACTCAGGTTACTATTTTACGTTATCAATTATCACGTTACAGTTAGTACTTATTACCGTTATTACAATTTAGAGCAAAAGACTGAAGGTTTACTACACCTATTATAGATCCGAGTTATTGGTACTCAACGAGACCAAAGAGCTTATGGTACCTGCCGAGGATGAATAATATTTAATCGGTTACGAATCACTAGACTGTCTCGCGAATATCCTCACAAGTATGCCAAGAATATCGTATATCGCGCTTCGTCGTGACGATATCACATTATTTAAATTCTCTGCAAAATTTATCTTAACGGTGAGTAGCAACCTTCAATCGACATCTTCGATAGAAAAAAAAATCTGGCCGAAATGCGATAAGGAGCATGAACTTGCTACTTGACTTGTTTAAACGTCGTTCTTTCCATATGTAGAAGTTTATCGTGAAGATAAAGCGTGACCTTTAACTTTCATTAGCAATAGCAAGATCTTGTCCCTGAGACAAGTTCCGTTGTGGCTTTCCTTCCTTCGGTGGAAATATAACTTTTGTTGAATGAAACAGAGCTATATATATATATATATANTAATAATATACCAGTAATTTTTTCGTAGTTTATTATTGTAGTTTATTTCCTATATAGGAATATTCTTTTCAGATATTTATTCATTAGATCAATTTACCTGAAGGTGAGACATCGGCCCTAATATTGATGCTCGGCGGACGACGTTAGTCTCGGTCTACAATAGATGCTTCAAGCTCTAAGCTTTAAGAAATTGAACAATCACAGTCGAACTGTAGAAGAAAAGCCAATTATAATTGGTCAGTTTCTTAAATCTTACGCCTTGAATTCTCATTGTAGACCCCGCTTTACCCGCCGGTCACAGTCTCAACACCTTAACGTTGTGTGCAATTCTGATGAGAACGCGTGTAAAAAGCTCCCTGCGGAGATCATCAGCCGTGCTATTGGATCGCGCGCGTGCTGGCTTTTTCTGCCGCGCATTGCAAGTTGAGAGATAAAGAGAGACGCCGATGTGACAGTGTCGCGCTCGGCCGTCTATAGCTAATCTCAGAGGAGGTTCGCCGCGCTTTTATGCCTTTACCCCATACAGAGTCTTAAAATAATATTCTTTGCTTTTTTGGACTCGCGGCTGTACGCGCGTACGCGCGCGCGACAAAACAGATGACGCGTTGCCACGTGCCGCGCACCCGTCCGTGCCGTTTGTCCAAAGGAGCCGTCGCGTAATTTCGTGAAAGTATATAAAAACGCGCGGGCGCGCGAGATCGAATGCGGCCGAGGGAAAAGAGTGCGAAGGAAGAAGGAGGCACACATCGTTGCGACACATTGTTTCAGGATATTGCGCGGCCGCGGAGGACGACGTGCCGGATTTCCACGAGCTTGGCGCCGACATCGAGCGGCAGTTCCACGAGCTAAGCGCCCTGGACGACGCTATTTTCATCGACGGATAATTCCCCCCCCCCCTCCTCAGCGGGAGAACCGCTTTTTCTTCTCTCTCACGGAGGCGAGAAGACGAAGGGGCACCATCCTGACCGTCGTGATCTCATTGTCGGCGCGACGCGCTGCGTTTCCAAAGACTCGTTTGTTTCCTCGTATTTTTCTTCTCCCCCCTTCCTTTTGTACGAGCATTTTTATACTTATTATTAGTACCGTTGACAAATCATATATATTTTTGTACATAGTCACATATGAATATTATAATAAGCAAACAATATTATAATAATCGTTTATTTAGAACGCGAGCGATTATTTTTCCCCGCACCTTCCGCTCGCGCGACTTACTGTCTCGTTTCTTCTTTCTCTCGCGATTCCTCTTCAATTTACGCTGCTGCTGCACGCGGCTGGACTCTCCGTCAAATATCGACAAATCAACCCGGGGAAGTTGCGTAACGCCTCGTTTTGATTCCGCTCGGAGTACACCTGCGTACACACAGGAGGATGATTTCGTGTGCATATAGATAAATAATCAGGCAGAATTCTACTGCGTGCTTTGCGACGAAATCTCCGAAGTGATTTGGGGTGAAAGAGTGCAAAATAATATTTATTAGTAAGTTAAAGTAGAAATTCGTGTGATCGCGCTTCGAAGTAACGTGTGATTATGGGCGCCTTACCCCGTTGATCACTATCGTCGGGACGAATTTCAACCGTGGGCTGAGAGCTGCCGTCTTATCGCCGTTCTCAGCGAGCAAATCATCTCCCAATGAGCTTTCAATGCAGTTGTCAATTGCGCTCCTCGTTTCTTCGCTTACGCCGGCATTTTGAGCGCACTAAAATTCGATCGTCGACATTTAATTAATTTTTAATTGTTTAATTTTTCTTATGTTTTTATCGTTACTATTTTATAACAGAAAATATCAAAAGACGATCATGCGATGTTTCGTTCATCATAAATATCGTCTTATGCATTAAACATTTTTACATGTTTTGATCATGGTGACTAAAAACATAACGGAGCAGAGTTATTGTCTGCAAACATTAAATATTTCGAAACGCTATGCATATTAATAAGATATAAAACGTACGCATTATTAATAGAACTTGTTTTGAGAAATTTGTATTCATCTTTCCTCAATATTTTACGCTGAAAAAATCGCTTAATTTTCTGAGAATGATGTAGCTCAAACAGAAATTAATTTAAAACTATTCCAATTTATCTATAAAGTCAGAATACTTTTGAAATATATCTATGATATTATCCCGGTATCTTCTTTAAAGAAACGGATAAAAAGCAGATAAGAGATAAAATTTTTATCGTAGCAAAAATAAATTTAATAAATTTTATCTCACTTCTGCAGATTATATCATAGCGTATATTTTATTAATCAAATTATACAAATATAGACAAATATAACCGAATTTTCCATCTGGTCCCTATTCTTCCCAGATCACAGAAAAATCGGTTACATCAATGTTTTTTTTTTTCATGTAACACACTAACTTTTTTATAATTTATACCCCAATGGAAAAATTAATTTTTCACATATAATAACAACAACTCTAGTGTTAGTGTAGATTAAGATTAGGGCTTCCGTTTTCTCGTTTTAACGTATAATATAATAGACTCTGATTAGATAAGTACAAAATAAGATAATAGAGATTAATTAAGATATGTAGAGTCTGTTGAATCATTGAAGTCAAGTAGATAGCTATTCTAATTTGACATCAAGATATCTCCGATAGCGAATAGCAGTAACAACAACAGGATTTGGAGATACATACATATAATTAATTAATTCTATTATCTTATACTTGTCTCATTCTTCTATTTGTTAAATAGTTTGTTTGAATGTCTCAACATCTCTCAGCATGTCTCAATATTTGTGCAAATAGTGTTTCAAAAACACTATCTTGCACAAATAATGCCGAAATATCCGTGAATCTAATTATACTCAATGACCTTTTCAGATTTGCCTGACAGCAGTAATACAGGTGTCTGTGCCGTAACGCACTCTATTCCGCGAATTCGATGAGAAAGTATGTCAAAAGGTCTCGTTGTAATTACAGCTAAATGTCAGTTCGTTGACTTCTGCCCATCGGCAGTGTTGAGATTAATTACAATTCACTTCGGCATGAACACTTGTCGGTCGCGGCCTCAATGGCGCTTTAACGAGTCACGTATCGCGTGGCCGGGTGGAAAATGATAGTGATAACTCACCTGCGGCACCGCGGTCGGCGGGTTTCTACTGGACATTGCACAATTTACCAAGCTGACCAGCATTTCTTCCTGATTTTCGATGTTCTCGGAAGATTTTATCGCATTGATTGCGCACGATTGGGCCTTATTGCCGCGACATTCGGCAGGCCCATGTTGACACTGGAACTGCCACGGAGTGGTTGTGCTTTCGCGTGTGTGCTACAAGCACACATCATCAATTCGCATTAATATACCGGCTTTAAAAGCCACATCGTGTTCTTCGCGATCGACACACGCGAGTGCAGAAATGAGGAGTCGGCAAGGCCACCGTCTCGCGTTCTCAAGGACATGAACGGGACTGACCAATCCTTTGTGTCCGGAGGTAACTCGTCTCATGTATATATGCATATATGTGTATAATGGATAAAAGTCTTCTTCATTGAAGTAATTTATACAAGGAAAAGGAAGCAAATACAAAAAGAAAATACGAAAGAAGGAACGGTAGAAAAAAAGAAGACAACGAACAAATTACGTAAAAATACTTGAAATTGTATTTTTAGAATATTTTAATCAACTTATGTCGAGGACCACTATATCGGAAGATTAAAAATCAAGTGGAAAATTTAAGAGTGACAAACAAAGCACTCGAAATGTTATCGTCTAATTTTCGTCTCATTATCGTATTCATCACGTTAAGACGAAGGCGTAGATTTGAAGTGTGATAAAACATTTACTCACCGTAGCTTTACCGTAAGGAATAAACGTGATGTGGATATAGTCCTTCAATTGTCCATACGACGGTGCTAGCTGAGTTGTAATAAATCGCTTACTGTCACCACATAAGGCCTCGTAGTAAACATCTACGTTCACGATGTTTCTCTCCTGAGATTGTGTATTGACCTTAAAAACATTTATGGTCCATATGGTCATCATTTAAGGATTATAAATATCAAGAATTATTCTTATTTCTCTCTTATATATGTTCTTTGCGGAAAATATTCAAAAGAAATCGACGACTTTAGTTGTTTAGTTCCTTATCAAGCAGAGAAAATATAAAATGAAAATATTTACTAAAAGCAACACATATATTATTAGATATTACTTGATGAAAATAGTTAATTCGGCAATTTCATAAAATGTATGGCGATTCTACCAGAAATATAATCTTGTAATAACGTATTCTATTTATAGAATCACATCGCGCGGTGAGAATTTTTATGAATATCAATGAATCACCGCATAACAACTTTATCACAGGCTCATTGATACGTTAAAGTCAGGTCACTTGCACACTTTATACTTACCAGGTTGCTGTGACAAGTAAGTGCAACAAAGGCGGCAACCACCAGCCAGGCGCGCGAGTTGAACAGGTAGTACCGCATGGTTGTGTCGCTCGTTAACGAATAAACCGGAGAGAAGGCACTCTTAAACTCGTTGCGACCGATAGGCATCGGCAAACAGCGAAAAACGCGGGAGTGGGAGGGGCGAAAAGCAACGATGGGGGATATCCGGAGAGAGGGAGAGAGTGAAATGAGATAATCGATAATGAGTAATTCTCGCGATATTAGCGGAGGTCATCTCGTTGTCGATTCGGTCGTATGTGGAGCTTGAGAGATCCGGAGTTATGATGGCCATAATTAAGGCGTTGAATCAAAGCATTGAATCAAAGGATTCGATGTAGCAAATCCTTACTTGGGAAGCTTTGAAATTGCTTACAATATATATATATATATATATTTATTTATTTATTTATATGTATAAGTTAATATGTATGTGCAGGATTAGATAGTAACTTGCAAATTAGTTAAAAGCTAAGTTAAAAGTTCTAAAGTTAACAACTTTTAACTTAGTTAAGTTTAAATGAGTTCACTTTTAACTTAGTTACTTTTTATACATTAACTTATTAACTTATTTTATTTAAGTGAAAATATTTCATCAATATCGAAATAGTCTGACACGATCATCATCAGAAACATCTATATAAGAGTTTTTCTTTATCAAATGCGAAAGAAAGACAAATAATGATAGAACTTCTCAGTTAGCACAGTGGTAAATAAAAATTTATAGAGAATTCATTTTAAAGAATATCTACAGAAATAAGAAAATATCTGGAGAATTCTTGAAGAATTAATCACAATCAAATTTGTCTTGAAATATTCCTTAAAAGTTCACTACAACGAATATTAGAGTACCCGAGCATTCGTAGCCCACTTGTAGCACACGGGTTAGAATTGATTCAGCAGGTATTTCTATGATACGGATGTCCGCATCGTAGATTAAGATATCATGGTATCTTTAGGATATTCCTATAATGTATTTTGGACATATGGAACGGATACATCTTACGGATATCCGCATCGTACGGCATCATACGAATCCTATATATATTAAAGCTAAAACTTTACGAAATGATAAATTACTTACGAACAATTACGATTTTATATTTACAATTTCAGTAACTATGTTTTTTACAAAACGTTAGAAATGTAGAAATGTAATATCGCAACTGTAATATGTAATATTTAGTAAGAAATAAGTTATTGAAATCGTAAATATAAAGTCGTATTTGTTCGTAAGTAATTTATTATTTCGCAAATTTTTAACAATTTCTAAGAATTTTAATCTATATTACTATATTAGACTTAAACGCGTTACGATGGCAACAGATGTATATGCCGAAGTTCGGTGGTTAGATTTCGTCTCTAAAAACTTACACACGCAGACACACCGTGCGACGCAACGCCGGTTCGGCGCGCAATAAGAATCACGTGTCGAGGAGGCCGATATCAAAGTATATTACGAACTTACGCCTTGATGAAACTTCACTTCTGTTTGTATCGTCTTTAACTCTTCGTGCAATTTTATAGCACGTTTTTTGAAAGTCTTGGCGAGCGCGTCGTTCTTCTGCACGCCGTCCCCGCGTGCGTGCATCTGCGACAGATTCGCGCAGGCATACGGATTGCCGAACTCGCAGCTCTTCAACGACAGCTTGTACGCTTCCTTGAAGTTCTTGTTGATTATGCCCTCCTTGCCGGCTAGATACATGCCCGAGAGATAGAAACATGCCGTATCTGAGTTATACACGTCGCAGGCTTTTTTCAGTTGCTCGACGCCCGCTTGAACCTGCGTGGCTCTGTCTTTCTTTCCCACGTCGTGATTGGATGTTCCTAACATACCGGCATGCAAACAGCCATTTTCGTCATTTAATTCGCAGCCCTTCGACATGTACTCGTACGCCAACGGCACGTTCTGCTTGCAACCTTTGCCTGTGTGAAATAGAAAAGAAAACATTACGATACATTTAGGTTATCTCTTACATTTAGCAGATTAATTCTCATTTATGGATCTTTTTAACAATTTTGAGTGCATGTTTTTCTTAATGACAATACCAAAGAAGATATTATTTATTATTTTAATCAATAAAATGCTAATACAAATCGACGATTTTACAGAACTTGCGTAACGAGCACATAAAGAAATTTGAACATTTATTTTGCGCGTGAATGTTGAATATGAGTGCTTTCGCGGTAAGTATCGCGATTAGAAGAAGCAATAGACCAAATAATTATATATTTGAATGAATAACTATATATTTTTAGGACAATATATATCGTAAGATTAAATATATATACATACTTATAAAATCTTGAGACAATTGTGAAATTAACGACGCGTTACACGTTAAATGTTTAACCCTTTCGCGGCGGAGTGCTCTGGAAAGAGTTGCGCTCTAAGCAGCCGATGCCAGATCGACCGCGCGGACAAAATACGCGAGTCGAATTTGTGGATAATTATATTTGACTATGTAAAAAAAACCTTTGCACAAGAAGCGTATGCTGCTAGCACGTCAAAAACAACTTAATGGACATTAATGGCAGTTGTTGATAACAAACGAACAGCGCCTTCGTACGAAGAGAGCGGCTCCGGATGGGCGCCATCTGGCGCTGTTCGTTCGCCGCGGGTAAATTTGCCTGAGCGCCGAACGGCGCTGTTCGCTGAGAATGAGCATCTATAGCTGAGCGCCTAAAGGCGCTGTTCGCCGCGAAAGGGTTAACACGTTCATTGCCAATCACGCGATATCGCGTGATGCGAGTTCTCACCAAACGGCCGATCACGCGTTATCGCGTAATAAATATTTAGAGTACATAAATCCTATGTACATAATAATAAAAGCATATAAATAATATATTAACTTATTTTGAGCACAATAAAAACTAAATAAAAAAATTTAAAAAAATACGAAATTCCAATTTTTAGCTTGGCAATGAACGTGTTAAAAATATATCGAATGACCGAGAACGGTCGATAATGTCAGTCTCTTCAATTGTTTCTGGGTCGCCATGATAATTTTGATAGTCCCTTACGAGCGGTCAAAGTTATTTCTCCCTCGCCGAAGTTACTCACCGACCGCCAGAAAATCGCCGTATTTCGCACAGCTTCTGCCGTAATTGTAGTTGTCACAATTCATCTTGAACAACGAAGCGGCCTTTTTTATATCTTCATTTATCGCTTCGTAATAATCACCCAGTAGATGGCACACTGTGTATAAAACATTTTTTGAGGTTACATATGATACTGGATGCGCACGCTATCACTCACCTTCTGGTTTTTTCTCACTGTAACAGCCAAACTGGTATTCGATGTGTAAGTTCTTTAAGTACTCCTTCACCTCTTCTTTGTCCTTTAAGTTGTAACTTGACATTGTACGTTGAAGAGAATTTCACGAAACACTGTACGCGAAATCGTGCCTACCAGGAGATGAACAATATCGACAGCACTATCGATAAGTATCGGTCGCCTTCGATGTTATCCTTATTTTCTCGAGAAGACTAATGCGAATTCTTCAAATCGCGAATGAACAGTATTAACAAGAAAGAAACTAAATCATCAATTATTAAATACAGAGATTTTTAATAATTAAAAGTTTATTCGACCAGCTAATATATTCTATTCATTACTGTTAACTGGAAGTCCGTCTGATCCATAACTGAATTATCATAAAATGTTTCTCGAATTGTATTTACTATTATTTTAATTCGTTAAATTTTCTCTTTATCATATAATTGAGAGAAGTAATCCTTAAATCTTTATCCGCAGCGTATACGATAAAATATATAGTGAATAAATTATTTTTTTTATTATGTGATAAGAAGGTTATAACATTTTAAATTCACGAGTTTCAGAATGTGCGATTGTATTTTTATGACGGTTTTCAGGACTTTCGCGTATGTTACAAAATTTATCGGAAAAAATTTTCGCAATTTTTTTCCGCCACCTACATGTCGGTCTCGTGCATCCCTAGTGTAGCTAAAGCTAGGAACAATTGGTCGGTCGATTTTTATTAATTCCCATGAACATCGTTGCGAGTCGCCACCGTCTGTTCCCAAGTTAAGGTCCTCGGTAATACGTACTCAATGCCACGCTTTCCCGCCTAAATGTTGTGATTTCGGTGGGAAAATATTTGTTGGATCAGGAACGTCTATGTACTCTCGTGAACGAGTTCGTTAGTGAATCACATGTTTCTTTCGAGGTCGTATTTATTTCGACAGTGCTTTTATTAGCATATTTGAATCAGATTCAATCTATATTATCAAATTAATTATCTATCATAACCAAAAATCTATCAGTCGACCGTACAATAGTGTTATGCGAGGTCCTTGGCGGGGTTCCTGATAGCTGAAGTCATATATGAAAGAAGGAAAATTTCTGCAAGGTTAAATTTGATTATATTATTTTACCATTGTTATGTACATACGTCGATTTTTTAAATTTTTTCTATGAAAAATAAAATGATAAGAAGAAGGCAAAGTTAAAGAGTGATATTACGATTTTTCCCGACGACATAGAAATCCAGTTGTTGAAATAAGAAGTCTAATTGAAAGGGAGCACGGATAAATTGTCCTTCTTATTGTGTGTTAGTAATCAACACATTGGAATATCCCATTTTCAGAATGACAGGTGTGTATAATTGCATTTTATACCTGTATGAGTTATTTAAAATTAACAATAGTTTGATCGTTTAATTGTACTTTCTTGTATATTTTTTCTATATAAAATGAAGTAAATATATTTTTGAGCTTTGAAGGAAAAAAGCAAAGATAAAAAATATACAAGAAATAATTAGATAAAAGACTAATGAATCTTACATATTTTGTATTATATATAGCTTATTTGTTTATTGTAATATTTTATGATACTTGGTTTGATTTAGCTACTGAAGTGAGAAATTGGACTACAGAGTATTATATTATAAATCAATCATCTTGTCAGCAAATTTTAGAA